GGCTGGGAATTTTAAAAAAAAGAAAAAGAAAAATAGAACATTAACAGTGAGTGAACCTTAATGTATACAAATGAAATAAAAAATCATCCCATGATAGAATGCAGCCCATGACCAAAGACTGTAAGTATTACAAATAGATGATGCAACCTCAACTCAAGGGGATGAGGGGAAAGGTGCTGTCTTAAGTAACATCACAAATGAGTGGATCCAGTAAAGCAAAAGGCAAATGAAGCTGCACATAGCACTGTGCTGCTGTGATACGGTTGTTTCCAGTGATAGTCTTGTTAACAATTCTGATAGTACATGGGTACCGGATGTGAACAATTAATAAACAGATGGCAGATGGTGGGAGTCAGGTTTCCTGCTATTGGAAGTGAATGTTTACAGATAAGCAAGAGGAGGAGGCTAGAATGATCCATGTGGAAGTGGATCAAAGTTGGACATATCAGTATAACTCGTGTTTAATTTAATATATAGATAGCTACATATAGAAGTATTTATGGATATATGTATATATGGGTAGTATACACACATATATTCCCCTACTCAGTCAGCTGAGAGAACCTAAAATTAAGAATGCTACAGCAACAATGAGCACACCTAGCACCTAGATCGTGGTTTCCAATACTATTCTCCAATAAAGGAATCAGGCCTCCTTGGAGAAATGGCTTATACTAGGACTGGTGCAGAAAACCCAAGGTGAGCCTGGAGTATCTTGTAGTAACAGGAAGTAAGTGCTAAAAAAACCAGAAAATTCCCATGATGCAAAAGGATACAGGAAGCAACTGAAAGAACTCCCAGTGACCAAAACTGGAACCATTTGAACAACAAAGTAAGGTAGTATTGGATTAGAAACCAAGGTATAAAATAAATATCTTCAAGCCTGTACTGGTATAGTTGTAGATTTAACAGTGGAGAAGAGACAGATCTCCCATGTAAAAAATTTCAAGTATTTTGTATAACTAATCCCTCTTCAAAGAGTTGGATTGTAATTTCCTTCTCCTTAATTGTGAGATACACATAATGACTTCTTTCCAAAGAATATACTATGAAAAGCAGGGGGGAAGGGATTAACTTTACGGTGGAGAAACTGGACAAATACTAACTACCGTAGCCCAGTGCTCAAGATAACATCAACAGTGGTAAATTATGCTGATAGTATGTATCCTTAATATGATGTGATGAAGATAGCACTCTACCTCCATGATCTTCCTCCCAAAACCTTGACCCGAGTCCAATCCTAAGAAAAACATTCAACAAATCTCAATTGAGAAACATTCCACAAAATACCTGACCAGTACTTTTGAAATTGTCAAGGTTTTATCAAAATAAGGAAAATCTAAGAAACTGTCACAACCAAAAGGAATCTCTAGAGACATAACAAATGTAGTGTCCTGGATGGGAATGGACACTGAGTAATACTAAATAAAGTGTGGACTTTGGTTAATAATATGTCAGCATTGTTTCTTACTTGTAACTAATGTACCATACTCATGCAAGATGGAAAAATTAGGGAAAACTGGATGTGAGGTATATGGAAAATTTGTACTATCTCTGTAGTTTTTCTGTAAATCTAAATCTGTTATAAAATTTAAAAAATTATTTTAAAGCCAGGCTCGGTGGCACAGCCTGTAATCCCGTGCTTTGGGAGGCTGAGGTGAGTAGATTGCCTGGGCCTGCGGGTTCGAGACCTGCCCGGGCAACTTGGCGAGACCTCATCTCTACAATAAATCAAAAAATTAGCCGGGCGTGGTAGTGAGCGCCTGTAGTTCCGCTACCTGGAAGGCTGAGGCGGAAGGATCGCCGGAGCCCAGCAGGCCGGAGCCCAGCAGGTCGAGGCTGCGGTGGCCGGGAGCGGCCACTGCCCTCCAGTCTGGGTGACAGAGTAAGACTCAAAGTCAAAAAAAAAAATTTTTTTTTAAACTAAACTAGACAGTATTTTTTAGAAAAAAATAAAGCTGTTGCTTTTTTTTTTTTAACTGGGCCTGGAATGAGACAACACTTTTTTTTTCCTTCCTCAGTTAAAAGTAGAAAATACTGTAGTATGCTTTTTTTTTTTTTTTTGATAGCTGTATCTATCCATCCATCCAGAAATTGTTTATTGAGCTTCTCCTGTGTGTCATGCTTTGTGTAGATACAGAAGTGTAAAAAAGTTATAGCACCTGCCTCCAAATTTTAATAAAGGGGTATAGACAAATAAATAATGTGCGTGCTACTCTTGGCTACTGTTGCTGCCTTGGTAGTGTTCTGCCTTGCTCTCCCAAATATTTTAGAAAGAGAGTCTGTACCTTACACTGCCTCCAAACTCTTTTGAAGTTTAACTCTTTTAACTATAGATGCTGTGGTTTTTAAGTGCCCATGCCTTTTTTTTAGACTTCCAAATACGGCCTTGGGCTTCAAAATACTCTTCTAATTTTTTTTTTTTAAATTAGATGATATCCAGTGTCAGACTCCAAAAGTGAATTAAAAGATGTCTTATATTATAAAAATGCACCTTAGTCTCATTTTGAATTTTTTTGAGATGTTTCCCTCATCTTCTCTATCTAGGTGATAGTTGGAAGCTTTAATCTTGTCTCTTTGGTTGTTTTAATTTCTGATGTTGTAGGCACTAGGCATCAGTTCTGTAGTCAATCCATCCATCCATCCATTAATGAACTTAACTTATGTTTGCTTCAAGGCCTTTGCACTTTATTTCCTTGCTTGTAATGCTTTCTCCAGATTCCCTTCATTTAATCTGTGAATTTCACTTAACAGAGATGATGTTATGATGACTCTTTAAATATAGCCACCCTTCCCTAATGCCATCAGTCTCTCTTATTATATTGTATTATTTTTCTTCATAACACTTATCTCCACTTGACACATATTTGTTTCTTACCTTTCTTTTTTAGAAAACTACTCACAAGGGCAGGATCTTCTTGTTTATTAATCTGTTCCTAGCATCTAGAGCAGAATCTGGCACATGGTAGCACTCAGCAAATATTTGCTGAATGAATGTATGCATGGCAAGCATGTCTCTATTTCTCCCAGTGTATCATAGACCCAGAGAGAAGGCATCAGATGACCTGCTCTGATGTATCAGAGTTTTCATAGTATTTATACAGATTGTAGTCCTACCTAGGTCCTTGCTTCATTTATATGTGTATAATACTTGACAATTTTCAAAGTGCCCTCACATCGTCTCTTTTGATGCCTTGTGTAATACAGTGAAGCAAGTAGAAGTTTTAAGACCTAATTTACAAATGAGGAAGGTAGGGAGATGGGATTTTCAAGGTAACTTATCAGTTTCTAGCCAGTGCTAGAAACCAGATCTCTTGCCTTCCAGCTCATCAAGTGATTACCCAGGGTTTATGTTTCATCTCTGCCTGTGCCTAGAGTGTATGGTTTTCAGAGCAAGGACTTGAATTACTTGTTTTTATATTTTTCATGTGCCTTATATACAGTGTGCTTAAAGGTGTACTTTGGGCTTTTTGATACACCGAATAGTTGTGGAAGTATCTTTTCAAACTGAAACTAGAGGGAAAAATATTGGTAACTTTTTTCTTACAGTTCTACCTTCCACTTCTTTGATGAACTTTACTTGAGTGCCAGAAATTAGTTTTAGGTGTGGTTCCACAGATTCCATGGGCTAGGATGTGAATTTGTACACAAGTCACTGAGGAACCCTGTTTATGTTAGATTCTAATTCAGTTGGTCTATGTAGGGCCTGAGAGTCTGCATTTTTAACAGCAGGCTCCCTGGTGGAGCCATTGCTGCTTGGGCATGGTCCATACTTTGAATATTTTAGGGCTCAGTAACCATGTGAAAGATGAATTTTGTATTTGGCTGTCTGACGATATGACCGACCCTAGGTAAGTTTTTTGGAACCACTATAACATAATGCTTTGAATAAAATTTCACCTGCCCACTTTGTGACCTCAAGCAAGCTATTTAACTTTTTTTGCCTCAATTTCCTCTTTAAAAATGGAGATCATAGAGGCCGGGCACAATGGCTTAAGCCTGTAATCCCAGCACTTTGGGAGGCTGAGGCAAGAGGATTGCCTGAGCCCAGGGGTTCAAGACCTGTGTGGGCAACTTGGTGAGACCTTGTCTCTACAGTAAATCAAAAAATTAGCTGGGCATGGTGGTATGCACCTGTGGTTCCAGCTACTTGGAAGGCTGAGGCGGAAGGATCCCCTGAACCCAGCAGGTTGAGGCTGCAGTGGCTGTGAGCATGTCACTGCACTCCAACCTGGGTGACAGAGTGACACTCCAACTCAAAAAAAAAATGGAGATCATATTAATACTTATCTCATACAGATATTATAAGGATTGACTGAGTTAATTGTTGTAAAGCATCTAGATTTATAATGCACAGCACTCAATGAATCTCAACTATTATCTTTGCTTTGTCTCCTTGTGCTCCTCTGCCAAACTACATTAATAAGTTTAACATACATTTCAGGGACGGAAGTTGTTTAAAATATTTGCAAGGTATGAAATAGCCTGGTGACTTTTATGAAAACCCCAATCTGGTTGACATAGTGATTTCATGACTGAACAGTACAGTAGAAATCAGCTATTGGTGATTCTTCTTGTGTTGTCACAGCTGTACTGTATACTTTCTATCAAGCTTGAGACCATGAGGGAAAAATGAGTAGACATTCTAGTTTTGTAGTAAAGTGTCACAATATATGATATTAAGCACAGGATTTAAAATTGTTTCATTCGTCTCAGTTGTGCATTAAATAAACCAACTTGATTTTAATTAGCAGTGGAAATATGGAGACAAGAGTACCAGTGGTCAATGAGGATATATTTGGTGCCGAATTTAATGTATCTGATATTAAGGGGAAAACAGTATCAATAGAATAATTTTAAAGGGAGATTTTGTTTCTGGTTTTAAAAAATAATTAACGACAAAGTTGTGTTCCTTAGGGAAAAAAAAATGCACACAACTCATTTCTCCCACAGACTCAAAGTATAAAATTAACATGGAGTTTTTCTTCCTTTTGTTTTAGGATCAGATTTTATTAAGACCTCTACTGGAAAAGAAACAGTAAATGCCACCTTCCCGGTAGCCATAGTAATGCTACGGGCCATTAGAGATTTCTTCTGGAAAACTGGAAACAAGGTATATTATTGCCAGCAAATCTTTCTTCAGGGTAAAGATAATGTTATTTATAATATTAGTTACAGCCACGATAACTGTCTTTATATGCAGAAGGTGTGAATGAATTACCTTTATTAAGATAAATGTTTAATTTACCTTTCATTATAAAAAGACATATTCATGGAGAAAAATGTGCGATTAACAGAAAGTTAGCGTGAGTGTGGGAGTGAGTATGTGTGATCAAGATGTAAACTTATTTTATGTCCTTTTATTAACCAGAGACAATTTTATCACTGACAAGAGATTCCTAAATGGGTTCTTTAACGAACTAATTCTGCTGCAACACAGGGCTTTCTGGCAAGGCGTTGGCCAGTGAAAACAGGTTAATGCAGAAATTAAACTTCCTTGAGGAATGGAAAGAATTGCAGAGTAACATTTATTGAATGATAAGCTGTGGTGGTGATATGAAAAGTATGCAATATAATGGGAAATAATCTTTTCCTGTCATTATTGAAGGACACACATAAATTGGTTTTTCTGTTGGGAAACCCCCGGTCCAGAAAAACTTATTACTTTTAATAATATGAGGTGAAGAGAAAATTCTCGAGGAGATGAACTTATTAAACAAAATAATGAAATGCTGTGAAACAGCAGGGAAAAGGTAGCTAGACGTTATATAGCTCTTGAATTAAATATCTATTTTTGCGTTTTATGGCAGTTGGATGTACTCTTTGGAAGACTGTTAAGCTGAGGAGGGTATATACTAGCTTTTGTCAGCTTTTCGAAAAATAATACATATTTTTTGAAACATATGAAGTTAAAAGGAAAACTGTGCATGAGGTGCTTTTTAAAAAATGAGTTTGGATTTTCCTTTTCACTTCAAGTTGCTTGTTTAGCTGCAAATCATCTCAAAGGATTTTTTTACCTCAATGGAGAAAAAGGTAGTGCTTGTGTGTGTGTTTAATGAGACTTTCTGAGAGGCATCTTTTAAAACCAGTTTCTTGATTTCTGCCAAGTAAAAGCCCCCAAATGACCTTTAATCCTTTGCCAACTGGATGTGATGACTTTATATGTGGCTGTAGCTTCAGTTTATTTTGAAAAAGCAGACTTTTTGGAATATACTGGATTATGGGAGGAAATAAATTCCTTCCAGAATTTTCTCCCTCAGAATAATTTCACATCTTAAGTACATATGAAAGCCAACCCAACTTGAGTAACCTCTACTTGATAGCCTGTCTACAATGATCCAAATACATTAAAAAATAATTTTTTAAGCTGTAAAAGTAAGAAATCTATCTTTAGTCCTCAGTTGAGACTACCACCACTCATTAAATTGTGGTTCTAATTCTCAGCCAAAGAACATCAAAATGTGAAGGTTTTTATACTTACAAATTCCTGGGCCTCCCATCCCTGGCAGTTCTGGATCTGGGGTAGTCCTCAGGCATCTGTGTTTTATGGGCTCCATTGTCAGGGTTCAAACTTGCCATTTAGGACCCAATCCTTTTTTGTTCTCAACAAACACGTATTGAGTGGTTAACCATGTGCCAACTTAACCTATGCTAAGTGCTAGGAGTGTGAAAATGAGTAAGTCCCTTCCCAGGAGAGCTCTTAGATACCAAGCAAAGAATTTCAATGTTCCAGGCCAGAGTACAGAGGGAGGGATACCTGGCTCTTTCAGTCCTTTTTTTTAATTGTATTGATTCTTTCCTCAACTAATAAAGTATATCCTGGTTTTATTAAGAAAAAGACAAGTACAAGTAAAATCGTATTCATTTAATGATGCTTGGTTTCAAACGAAGAGGATCTGTGTATGTATCTGCAAATCAGGTGCAGTCTTTGGGTTGTTGACAAGCTGCCTGGGCAGCCCTTAGACTATAAACTTCCTACATCATTGATTTAAGGGTGTTTTAAAATGCGATAGGCCGCTTTCCAGACCATGATTAGTGTCAGTGCTGAGAAGCAGAGGTTTAATATTTCATAACTGATTTCATTGCAGATTTATGTTTTCCATATTCTCTCTCTTTAAAAAAAAAAAAGATAAACTTATTCTAGAATTCTTTGGAAACATTGCCAAACAGGCTTGCTGACATAAACTGAACTATATAGAAAATCTATATGAAGTACTGCCTAATTGACAGAAATGCTCTTATGATTAACATGTATGCTAATATCAGCTAATTGATTTATTTTTGGCCTCTTTTCAACAAATAACCTCATCCTACTCACACCCTCTCCTCCTTAGTGAGTCATAGCTTGAGCTTCATAGCAGATATTGTTAGAATCCCTGCACTGCTGCTATTTAACTGTGTGATGTTATGTGATAGAGGCAGGGAAACTATTTAGGAGATGGACTGATATTCCATGTAAGAATTAACAAGATTCTAAACTGAAGCAGAAGTGGAATAGAAAAGAGTATATGAGAGAGGTACAGACCGGTGGCTCAGCCTGTTATCCCAGCACTTTGGGAGGCCGAAGTGAGTGGATTGCCTTAGACCGCAGGTTTGAGATCAGCCCGGGCAACTTGGTGAGATCTCATCTCTACAATAAATTTTTAAAAATTAGCCAGGCATGGTAGCACATTCTGTAGTTCTGGCTACTTGGAAGGCTAAGGCGGAAGGATTGCTGGAGCCCAGCAGATTGACGCTGGGGTGGCCATGAGCATGCCACTGCACTCCAGCCTGGGCAATGGAGTGAGACTCCAACTCAAAAAAAAAAAAAAAAGTTCAGAGGTTAAGGACATTGGATTGGCAGGCCTTGACTAATCAGTGGGTGTGGCGTGGCCAGGAATTGGCGGAGTTCAGGCTAACTGTGGACCGTTCATTTATTTTCTTCCTCCTCTGGCATTTTGTTAGCAATCACTTTCTGCTGGTGCAGCTAATCAGAGGAACAACTCTGAGTGGATCAAATATGAGAGCTTTAGTACTTGGGCTCTGAGGTATGGTTTGACCACTCCCATCTATAGATCCTCTACTGGATAGTCAAATTTCTGAAACGTGTAAATCCAGATAATTAGGGTTTTACTGTATATGGAACATATTTTTCCTTTACTAATAGATTCAGAGACAACATTGATAAACATCAGATATTGGCTGAATTGGTCTTTGTTATGGTCAAATTTTTATCACTTTTGGAGTATGAAGAGCCCCTCCATTGTTTCTTCCTACTGTGCCTATGTAACTGGTCTGCCTGCTTTATAGAACTCTGTGTTTACAACTTAGGAAAAAATGTCCCTGTAGTTAAGTTGATTAAAACAACTGACAACTGTTTGCTGGATTGCTGCCAGTTTGGTTAGGGTGACCTTGTGGCCTTGCTGATTCTGTCCTCTTATTTTAAATATACCTGTATTTGTATGTCTTTTGAACCTCAGGATGAAGGCTGGAAAAAGCCTGTATAGGCTTGTAGAATGTAGAATGCATGAGCTTTTGGAATGCATGAGCTTTTGGGATGTGTTTTTCTATTTATCGACACCTTTTTTTATTTATTCCAGGTTCACAGCAATAGTCTAGATGGTTGAGGTTTATGCCTTTCCAATAAGTGAAATGTTAATAGGGGTTATGAACCCTCATTTGTTTCTCCTTGGAAGCCGTGACATTCTTCCAAAAATCTTGGGAAAGTTATTTTGTAGTGTGAATAGGTATGAGTCACTGATCTAAGCTCTTTTACTGGATGAAGTGAAAAAGATTCAAAAAAGAGAGAGAGAGAAGGAAACAAGACTCTGTACAAACTTAGTATCATTTTAAAACTCAGTCTAATAACAATAAAGCTTTTGTTCTCTTCTCTACCTTCCCTTTTAGATAGGCTTTAAGCCAGCAGGAGGCATCCGCAGTGCGAAGGATTCCCTTGCGTGGCTCTCTCTTGTAAAGGAGGAGCTTGGTGATGAGTGGCTGAAGCCAGAACTTTTTCGAATAGGTGCCAGCACTCTGCTTTCAGACATTGAGAGGCAGGTGAGTAATTATCCATTTCCTTGGACAACTGACAAGTGTTCTTGTGAAATAAATGGAAAAGTCAAATTGAGAACCAGAGATGAAAACATCTCGTTTATAAAGCTCACCCTACTCCATCCTCTACCTTCTCCCAAGCAAACCTCTACCAGAGGTGGGTTTGCTGGAGATGCTGCTCAAGTGCATACGAGTGAGACATCATTGAAATTGTGAATTATTATATGATAATGTCATTGTTAGCCGATATGTGTAATTATAGAATAATTCTCATTTAAACTCTGATTTTCCTCACAGATTTACCATCACGTGACTGGAAGATATGCTGCTTATCATGACCTTCCAATGTCTTAAATTAGCTATCAGTTCCTGAAAAGTTACTTACAACAACGTTTACAAGTTATTTTTCTACATAATTGCTAACATTATTTACTTTAAAAATAGGGAAATAAGTAACTGGCATTTTCTCCTGAAAATTTCCAGTGAACTTAAAGAATGAAAGAACAAACTAATCCACATGTGGTACTCATTCAGGCACATCTGAAATAGTCTTAATTACTAGAAGATCTGCACTATTAATTTTGTGAAGGTTTTCTCCTAAAAACTGAGTAAAATGTTAATGGTAGTTTTGACAACATCAAGTGCTAAGGAAGAAAAAATGTTAAACTGCCCAAGCAGTGTGCCTTACCAAAAGAAAATGCAACATCCCTGAGCTGCTGCTGTGACTACTTCAGGAACCACTGATTCAGCACTAATTTCCCGCCATGAAAATTCATCTTTCAGTTTTGTAATAGATACGCTTTTTCACTAATTGTTTTGCTAATGAAATTTCTGGCATTGTAATACTTAACTATGAATATCATTAAATGTTTTTAGGTTAAAAAAAAAAAAACACCCTGTAGTTGTTTGTTTAAAAAAAAAACCTTAAATGATAACAATACATATTGAAAAATTAATCTACTAAACATAAAAAGAGGTTTTATCACTTTCTGATTCTCTCTAGTAGATTTTTTTTGGGTATATATTTCATAAAATATCTCAGCACATTATGGATGAATAAAACTTATGTATATATTCTGAAACTGGGGTATAGTAAATAGGGGGAAAACTGCAGGGATTAACAATGCTTATTATGTGCTAAGCTCTTTACATTATGTCAATTTATTTCCTTCTTATTTAATCCCTATAATAGTAAGGTAAGTACAATACAGTAAGGTTTTTAATCTTTACAACAGTAAATACTGATTTATCTTCTTTTACACAGTTGGGCGAGTGAGGAACAGAACTTAAGCAACTTGCCAAAAAAGGTTGTCAAAATTATCAGAGTTAAGAACCAAGCCTAAGCAGACAGGCTGGCTCCCAGGTGTGTGCAGAGTCCCCCATGGATTCCTGTCCCTTGGCACACACAGTCAGATGCACATAAACAGAGCTCACCTTTGGCTGTGGGGGTGGCAGACTGCCTTGTGGTCTGCTGGGTCTATTGCTCTCTGTCTTCCCAGTCTCACCCCTCGGGCATTTTTGCTAGCACCTCTAACCTGTTTCGTTAAATGATATTTTTCATTGAGTCTTTTTTTTTCTTCCCTGAACAACTCTCCAGTTACTCATAAGCAAAAACCTGGACTAGGAATCAGTTTTGGTTTCGTTCACCTGCTGAATTTCAGCCCACATTCTTTCTCTTTCTGGCTTTGATCCTTGATCCAGTCATTTCACATCTCTTGACTTCAGTTTCTCCATCTGTAACATAAAGGAGTTGGGGCAGGTGACACCAACGTTCTTTCAGACCTAAAATTATATTACCCTAGGGATAATTAGAACAAATTCAAGAAAATGTTTTATGGCTACAAAGAGAAAACACTTTTGTCCCAATCTAAATTAGAATTTGCCTCTCATGAGTCAGTTCAGCAAGTCCCTCAAAGCACCTCTTTAACTGTAAATGAAATGACTAAAATAAGAACAGAAAAGAAATCCTGCTTTTCCCACTACCACCTTATCAAAACGCTGACTTTTTTGACTTGTGCCTTTGGATATGGTCAGTGACTCTGAGTGCCATATCCAACTTCATAATATGCTGGCCCAGGTGCAGTGACCAGTCACCTTTGGAGAAGAAACATTACAGAAAAATAATTACATTCTATCACCTTTGAAGCTATTCCAATTTCACAGGGGTTTCTGTTTTCCTCCTATTAAACCCAGCTGGTCATTTTAGTTGATCAAGTGAACAGGCATCATTATCTTCAATTTTAATTTATATGAGGCATCCACTGAAATTGACCTCTGTGGACAATTACAGATTCACTTAGGAAATTAAGACTAGTGAGTCCCTCAAACCTATTAGGGGCTGATGAGCATGGCTTGATCTGAAGGTAAGTAATATTTGGGGGAATAATTTATTCCAAGGACTATGGGGCTCTTCATCAGGAATGTCTGCCCCTCCTTACCTGGCTCTTGAAATCAAATGTAACACAGATGATTTTAATAGGTACCCCCTCATTAATGTTGATTGCTATGAAAACATAAGAGGAAGAGGTCACTTCTGAGGTGGCTGATTTACTACAAGCAAATCTGTGTACTTCAGAACATTGGTGGCAGATGCTTTATACAATCAAAAAATGAGTTGCTGTGTTCTGTGTTTTAAGATTCTGGGTTCTTAAAAACACCCCCCACCCCCATTGTGGCAGTTGTTCAGTAAAACGTACTAGGCTATGGAGAAAAGAATCTCAGAGTGGAGAAGTCAGTTGTGCAGGGTTACATAGAAAGTCAGAGCTGAGTCTAGAACCCATATTCTCACCACGTGATTAAATGTCTTGGCAAGTCTTGGTAACTGAAAAGTTCTTGCTTGTTTATGCACCATGCCTTACCTAATTATGTCTGTCAGCATGTGAACTTCATACTTTCAAGAGACTAACCTTCACCTAATAGAAGTTTTCTAAATGATGTTTTGGAGAAAACCAACCATCTCAATGTAGCCTAAGTGATAGTGTGGTTGGGTTCATCTGTTAGAATTTCAGCATTTTTGGTGACTTCTAAAACTTTTTTTTTTTTTTTTTTTGAGTTGGAGTCTCACTCTGTCACCCAGACTAGAGTGCAGTGACCACTCCCAGCCACCGCAGCCTCGACCTGCTGGGCTCCAGTGATTCTTCCGCCTCAGCCTTCCAAGTAGCTGGAACTACAGGCGCGCGCTACCATGCCCAGCTAATTTTTAATTTATTGTGGAGATGAGGTCTCACCAAGTTGTCCAGGCAGGTCTCGAACACGTGGGCTCAGGCAATCCACTCACCTCAGCCTCCCAAAGCGCAGGATTACAGGCTGAGCCACCGAGCCTGGCTTTTTTTTTTTTTTTTTTTTAAGTGTTGAATGTTGCTTTGGTTTTTTGTTTTTTTTAAACGAGGGACTTGATTAGATTCTAATTTGTATACAAGGAAAGAAAATGACTTGTATGATTTCAAAACAATTTCATAATTATAGTAGTTTTGCCTCATTCTGCATTGTTTAAATGCTAATGGGAAATTCAAACAAATTAGTTCACATGGAAAATGTCTTGGAAGGAGACCTGCGTAAAAGTAGGAACTATTAAAAATATCTGGAAATGCCTCCTCACAGCAGCATGAGATGGTCTCTGGACTGATTGAGCAGAGCAGTTTGCTATGTCATATATATATTTCATATATAAACCGAATCTAGAGAAACCCAGTCAATTTCTTTGAAAAAATTAACTTATACTTCTACTACAGAAGTATATGTTACATTCCACTTAACTTTTTATTAATTTTTCTTCCATCAACCTGACAGTTTACACATTGTAAATAGGGCCAAAGTGCATGGATATAAGAAGAAGAAAGAATTTGAGTAGATCTTACCTTCACGGGAAATGAAATGCTATGCCCATTTTGGCACTAGGAAAAAGGTACAAGGTGAAATCAATTTCTACATTTATTTTCCTGATTACACTCAGGGGCTTTGTCTCCCAAGGAAAATATGTATTTTATAACCACCACCAAATGATCCTTTTTAGAAATGACCACAGGTAACATCTGGCTGATATATAAAATATGTAGTAAAAATAATCATTTTTAATTAACTAAAACCTGCTCAGGAGAGAGAGGAATATCCATCTGGTCAATTCATACTTAATAGGGCAAATGAGAATCAGAATGTTTAATGCAATATATGTGAAATTCTTAGTGACCTTACAATGAACTAAAACTTTTTTGGGAAAAGAACAAGTGAGGAGGAGGAATCAAAATATCTAGAAAAGATAGACAGAAAACTTGATTTTTTTAAAGAAGTACATCTTGTATTATAAAACATAGGTAGAATATAAGAAGCCTTGGTTATGTGGCATTAGTTTCTATGGTAAGAAGTGATTATAAAAAAAGGTAAGAACAACTGAGATTATTTAGCCTGAGGAGAAGATTGAAGGGGTACTTAATGTCTGGCCATTCCAGAAAAAGTTACTTATATACTAAATTTTAGCAACCTAGAGTCCTGTATCTCCTCTGTAGAAGAAGAAATGATTTTCTGCTATATGTGAAGTTAGGTTAGTTCCAGGGAAGAGCTCTTTTAATGGTCTAGAATGTGTTATTATGAAGGTACATCTTACTATTTCCTTCTCAGAAGTAGATTCTCTTTTGACTTGAGTGGTTTGGTTGTGCCACCCAAGAAGGTGGTTCTTGGACTCTGATACATCAGGAGAGTTTTATAAAACAATTTTGGGCCCCACCCATAGAGTTTCCAATTCATTAGGTTTATTGTAGGGCCTGAGAATTTGTATTTCCAACAGGTTCCCAGGTCATGCACTTTGGGATCTACTGAACTGGAAAACCTTGTAGTCAATACCTAGATTCCAAAGTACAGTAAATGCATCCATTAAGCAGCCAAACCCACCAGCTGGAACACTTCTTTATCATGAAACTCCAGGATAAATGTGTATATTTTCTTCTTTTCATGGCCAAGAACAGGAGAGGAAACAATGGAAATGACATTATCCCTTAATACTTTCACAGTAGGCAATGATCTTGATTTCACTTTGGGCTTAACAGCAAGCTTTGGAGCCTAGAATAAACATTTTAGACAAATTTAGCATCATTATCCAGGAAGTCTCCAAAGGATTTCAGCAAGCCAAGATAGTAAGATTCAGCCGTATTTGATTTTACCAATTTGAAGTGCTATAACTTGGTAATTCAGAGATGATAATGTGCTTAAAACCAAAAACATATTTTAAAAGTCCATTCTAAGCTTACATTTGTAATAGATAAGGTGGTCTAGAGAAAGGTGTGTCTCCAGATACTTAGCTTATTTTGAAGGTACTGTGTAAATGGTCTCTAGAACTAATGAAAACATTAGTTCCTTGGTCTTTTCAACACTAAATGATGTTTTATATTTGTTTTTTCGCTTTTTAAGTGTCTACCCTGACAGTATTCTCTTCACATAGTTGGGCATGGTTCTGGCAAGCAACAGAACTCTACCTAGTTTAAGCAGAAAAAATATTTTTAAGACACATTGAATATTTTAAAGTTTATCTAGAAAGGCCAGATAATCTGAAATAGAGGCAGTCAGCTGTGAGTAATGCCCAACCACTCACTGGTACTGCCTCTGGGCACTCAATACAACCCCTGCCTCTGCTGTCTCTGAAAATTGGATCTATCACAGTGGCCAAAGATGGATTCCTCACTTGCCCTCTTGGGTATTGAATTCCTCTGTGGTTGTGTATAATTTCTAGAGTTCCAGTGGCATACTTGTAACATAGTTGGAAAGGAGGCTGTGCAAGCAAGTTTTGGCTGCCACCTTGGGGTAAGGGACATATAGTACTTAAAGTATTCAAAAGATGTTGGGTGGTCAAGGATCATAATAGTTGTCAACTGTAATATAACAAG